CTAATCATACTGGACGATCATGATCGTACTGTACGATGTTTAAAATATTGCCTAACTTAATCCGCTGAATGTTCAATCAAAACGGCTTAATTTTGATGTGTTGATCATAATGTACGAACTGGATCGTACTGGATGATAAACAGAGACAATTTTGGCGAACCGCCCGTGTATTGAACTGTTCGTACAGTACTAATTGGACATCGTACATTACTAACAGGTCAATTTCTGCACATCGTACTGGACAATATTGCAATCGTACGGTATGATATTTGATGGCCGAATTGAGTTTTTTTAGGGTTTTTGAGCCCTCTATTTAAGCACTCTCATAAGACTTTGTAAGAGTCTTTGGCATCCATTGTGTCTTCATTCTTTTGGAGAGAACTTGAAGAGAAGACTTGAAAGGGAGAGAGGAAAGGGTGGAGTTTGAGAGAGGGAGAAGAACCTTGGAGGGGGTTTCAAGGGAGTGTGAAGGAGATTTCACACGGTTGCTCCGGCGAGTTTGCACCTCAGTACCATCAGATTCAAGGTTTGTCTTGAAGGAAGTTTTGGGAAGAAGAAGATCTCGTTGGTGTCAAAGGACCCGGCTCCTTCGCCGCACCAGGGAAGGTGGAAGTGATTGTGTAAGGGCTTCTCCGCCTAGCTGTGGGGGCTAAAGGAGAATCACTAAATGTTTAGTTTAATACTCGGAGGGTGCCTCCGGGGATTGGACATAGGTCATGGTTTGACCGAACCACTATAAATTGATGTGTTCTTTCCTTTATTTTTTCTGCACTTTATTTCCGCATTTATTTTTATTGTGATTAATTGTGTGGATGAAATTGATTATCTATATTTTTATTGTGAATGAAATTCTCTTCCACATAAAGTCATAAAAAGATATTTCTTTTCATCAAAGAAGTTCTTAATCATCCAATTCACCCCCCTTTTGGTGCAACTAGTTATTTTCAATTTGGTCCTTCTGTTACTGGATGGATGTATTGTCGGCCAGTTCTTAGTCTTGATGGTGCATTCCTTCTCGGTAAATATCAAGGTACATTATTAACTGCGATTGGATTGGATGCTAATAATGGGTTTTTTTCTCTTGCATTCACTATTGTTGAGTCAGAGTGTACTGAATCCTGGATATGGTTTCTTCGGAAACTAAGTGAGCTACTACTGGGTGTGATAAATAGGCAAATTCTATGTATAATCTAAGACAGACATGTAGGTTTAGTTAGAGGTTGTAGGGAAATTTTCCCTAATGTAGCTCATTGACACTGCATACGGCATCTATGAGAGAATTTCAAGAAAGAAATACGTTAGATGGGGATAAGTGATGTAGAATTTATGTGTTAAAAAATGTATACAGTAGGCAATACTGATGAGCCACGAGTTTATCACATATGTATGGAAGATATAAAGAAAAACAAGCAAGATATCTACCAATGGCTGGAAGGTTGAGATGTGACCCAATGGTCCTTAACACACGCTAGTATGACAACGAATGCGACATAGTCTTTTAATGGTGTATTGAAGAGAGCTCGAGGTTTGCCAGTTCAAGCCTTGATCATAGCCACACTATGGGAAAACACGCGATTACCGTCGAAGCGGGAAGCGGGAAGGCAGGTCGGGTGTTCAGGCGGATCGGTTCACGCGGCAGCCGGGGGTGGGTCGATTCACTCGGCAGGCGGGTCGGGCGGCGGTTCACGCGGCAGGCGGGAAGGCAGGTCCGCATTACACATTGAAATTTTTTTGAATTCTGGCGTATTAAAATTTCGACGGAAATATTTTTCCAGTGGAAATTGCATCGGAAATCCGCCAGAAATGTTTCCATCGGATTTTTTTACGTCGGTAGTCCTTTTACGACGCGAACCAAACCGGCGGACGAAATTCTGCCGGAAAGTGCGACGGAAACCCAGAATTCCGTCGGATTTCACATGTTACCGGCGGATTATATCCGCCGGTAATAGCGGGTTTTCCTGTAGTGCCATATACAATAACGTTGTCAAAATATTCATGAGGCGGTTAGATTTCATTACATCTGAGGAGAGTAAAAAAATATTATTTCTTTGCTCCACAAGTACAAACAACACTTAGAAGGGTTGAAGAGGAGGCAAGATATATGCCATAACCAATCAGGCTTAACATGCATGAATTTTAAGTTTTTGACATGTCATCCAGATCTTATCTTGTCGACTTACTTGATAGAAGGAGATGCAAGTGTACTTGTAGGAAATCTTTGTTGTTTCACATACCATGTGCACATGTGATATGTTGTGTAGCAATATTAAGACAAACACATTTAGATTATGTTTCTCCATACTACACGATCAGCAATTACAAGTTAACTTATTATACATAATTTCACCATATCCCCAATAAGAATGAATGGCATCAACATGATCCCAGTGTTGGTTTGTTCCCACTTCTCCCCCCAAACTACAGCAGACGATCAGGTCGTTCGAGGACTAATCGGTATCACAATACAATGGACGAGTCATGACCATGGAGTAACGGAGTTTGTGGAGCTTGTCATTCAGTTGGTCACAACAGAGCCACTTGCCCAATAAGGGTCGTAGAAACTAGTATTTCATTTGTTTGTCGTAGTAAAAGTGATTGTATGTGTATTTGATCAATTATATGGTTGACGTACGTAACTTAAACATTTGTTAAACTCCTGCTATGACCAACTACTACTTATGTGATAATTTTGCATAACTTGTTGAATTTTTTTTAAATGGTAAACACTAATCAGAAATAAATTAATTTTTTTTTTAAATGGCAGGGGTAAGTCTCCTGTTTAACGGGTGACTTACTATTATCACCATTTTACCATCTTCTGCTCGCTCAGCATAACAGGCAGCTAACTCAGCTAATCCTAGTCAGCATAAGTCGCCCGCCCCTTAAATGGACAATTTTGACTATTTTAATTATTTAAATATGCTTAAGCTCTTAATACAAATTATAATCATGCTTAGCCTTAAAATTTTCTCTTGAATAAAACTAGTCTAGAAATTCGGTCAAAATCACATCAAATGACTTATGCTCAATTTCTTGAAGTGGTCAGATTGTTGTTGATCTGATCACAAGAAGCACTTATAAGGCTAAAGTCAGCCATATAAAAAATGAAACTAAAGAGTAAATTCACTCGTGCAGAAGAAATATGGTTGAAACAACAAAGACCATCAATGAAATAAAATACATATTAAAAATAAATACTAATAGCCTCAGCCAAAAGCTATCAAGATAATGAACATAACCCAATTCATAAATAAAACCTTGCAAGTTTCTATCCTTATGGATCATCATTCTGCAGAAGCAGAAAATCAATCTCATGTGCAAAATTCAAAGGATTATACGTTGTGGATTTTGGAATAGATGCAAAAAATTTACTATATATAAACCCAAGCAACAAAGAAGAAAATTTCAACATATTTACTAAATAAAAAATAATTTAGACCCTAATGTGGAAATGCAACACACCAGTTAAATAAATTGAATGAAACAAATTAAAGCTAATTATACAGGGATCTGTATATAATAGTAAATTCAGATTTGGAGCTTCCATGTGATCTTCTGATGACATAGACAATGCAAAAATTGAAGCTATTGGGCTATTACTAATGACATAGCTATACAATTTTTAAATTTGAAAGTTTATATAATTTTTCATACTAGTAGGAAGAAGTTATTCCGATGAAGTAGGAAAATACATTAAACAACTTAATAAGAGTAAATGTGAAATTGAGAAACTATGTATCCTGATTTTCATAGCATTAATGAAGAGAGTGAATTCTTCACTCAGACAACATTAACATTAACACTTCTCGCTTGATAGGATCCTCGAGCAACTTTGTTGAGTACGAGTAAGTTGGTATATCTTCAAATACTTCATTGATTTGATCAAATACTTTAATTGCATCGGATAGTAATGGAGGATAGCTTGTTGATTGCAATACATTTGACACTGCTCTAATATTTATGCATGCACTTACAAGTTGAGTTATTTGGTTTCGTAGGAAACCGGATTCATTTTTTTTTCTTTACGAATTGTAGAAGTTGAAATTGATTGACATTGTGAGTTGTTGCAATTAGTAAGGTTGTCTATTTTTTTGTAAAAGAACTTCAAAAGAATTATCAACTTTGTCTAATAGTTCAGAATCTCCCCCAAAATCATGATGTTCGACAACTTGGTTGGGAGCCCAAACATGAGCACCAGCAGCAACTCTCATGAACATTATGTCAAACATATCCTCTAGTTCAGGATCTATGCCGCAATATCTAAATTTTTGGCATTTAGAATGACCTATAAGGCATAGTTAATTGTATATGTTAGAAACTACAAAAAATTAAGTCTGAACTAAATAAATATATAAATATATAATAATTCATTGGTCACATGTAAATTTTTTTCCACCATTCACCTGGTTCATCAATAGTCTTTCTTCTATAATCCCAACCCAATTTAGTTGTGCCTCACTTTAACTCCTTCCATAAGTTTCAATCATTTTTTAGTTTATCATATTTATTTTGAAAGTTGTGCATTTGTCATACTCTCTACCCGTTTTCTCTTGAAAACATTTCATTAAAATTTTCCAATTCTCTTGATTAAAATGCATGTTGGACAATTTCCTAGTTCAATCAACTTCAAACATAAATCATAAAAAAATATTTTAACATCGCGCTCCCATGTTGCAAACGCTCCCCCGTCCTTTGGTTTACCCATTATATAGCCTGTTTACATTAGCATTTGTTAGTATTAATATTGAAGATTTATAAACCTTAGCAAAATTTGAGTGATTAAAGTAAGCGAAAAAATATTAACAAATGTACATTAAAATGTAGTAACTATATATGCATATAAATATAATATTTGTAGTATAGGAATTATATCAATATGAAGTAATAATGTATTTATATTATAATATTAAACATAACATAATTATGTAATTAGACTTCAAAGAACAAAATCATCACTCATGAGCAATAGATGATATATGGCTGAATGAGCAATAGTAAGCTTGAAATGGCGGAAAAAGAGAATGTGTTGAAGCTTATGCCGGCCTAGAGTTTCAAGAATGAAGAAAAAAGTTTTAGGACAGGATAACAAGAGGGTGCAGACTTCAAAAGGGGCTTTCGAAAATTTTACCTTCCCAATTATAAATTAGGGATGTGTTGGAAGCCTTAGATCAGTAGAAGAATTACTGAGAAAATTTCAGGGGATACCAACGAGAGAAAGGAAGGATATTAACATATTTTTCTTTTCCTTTGACAGAATTGCGGAGCTCAGCATAGAAATAAGATATTTTGATCGCCAAAAACAAAAGGCCAACCTGAAATTTTTTACACCTCCGGTACAAAGAACAGCCACAAACAACCTCGAGTCGCGTACCTCTGCAGCCTAGCCGTCGTACCAAACCGGCTACAAGTCATCTATAAATTACGTTTACGCTAAATTTAATCTTAAATTTCCCTTTAACAGATTTTTCTAAATATCGGCCCCATACAAAAGAAAGCCATGGAGTGTGCCGCGAAGGGAAGTGCTGACTCTTGCGTCCCCGGCCCGCCTAAGAGGCGCTGCGGCAACTGCGGGGCCGTCGCATACTGTTCGTTAACTCACCAGGTCACCGTTTTCTCTGCATCCTTTTCAGTACTAGGGTTTTACACTTCATGCCGCCTTGTATTGTTGAACCAACAATTGAAATTGATTCTCGGAGCTTCGGTTTTTCACTTTTTACTATCTTTAATTTCCTATTCGATGCCTGAAATTGATCCTCGAATCTTCCTAATTGTTATTTATAGTGTTAGTGTTTTTCCCGTGCCACTTCAATATGATTTGATATCAAGTATGGGATATTTGTTTTCTTGAAACATTTTTTTGTTCGTTAACTCTCTTGTTTCACACTCGGCAGAAGATGCATTGGAATGATCACAAAGAAGAGTGTGCAAGATTCGAACAACAAATGCAGCGTGCTGTCCTTTTGAGCGATTTGCCATTTACATTTTCTAAAAGCTCGGGATCAGTGGTACATTTTTTGTTTCTTAAATTTTGTAGCTGATATACTATGCATTTATTTGTGTTTGAATTTATTTTTAATGCGTAGGATTCAAGCTTTAGACACATCGAAGGCCATACCACTCAACCTACTCATTGGTTATACTGGTTATGTTTCAGAGCTTTTATTTGTAGAGTGATATTTTATCTACTAAAAAAAGTTAATATTAGTCAACACATAACACGCTAGAATTTGAGTGGGTAAAACATTACTCTTATTAGTAGTATGCTACCAAAAACTTTAAATACTACCATGGTTGATAATTGGCAATAATATAGATGTTTTACAGGGTTTACATACATACCTCAAAATTCTTATATATTTATATGCCTAATACTTAAAGTTTTTACATTTATTTATCTAACACCTTAGTAGATAATTCACATCTTAATTCATAAAAGGTGTATTTCACTTTGGATACATAAAATTAGTGATATTTTTATGTAATTTAAAGATTAATGTGTTATATGAGCTAAAATAAAGATTTAAATGTTAGACATATAAATATGTAATAATTCAGTGGTATGCATGTTAATCACTTTTTTTATATGATTATCAATTATTCTTTGATTAGAAAATCATTTTTTTATTTTTGAAGAGGCTAGTTGAATGCTTACTACTTCAAATTTGATTAAACGAAGTGTGAAAATTTAATGGTATGCTATGAAGAGTATTATTTCACCAATACTTGTAGTGTAGGCTATATGAGATAGTTATAATGGTGTGCTAGTATTATATGAACATTGCCACCAACGAGCCCCCAATGACATCAACTTGAGTGTATGAATTGTGGGAATGCAAAGAACATGCATGGCTTAAAGACTACCACCGGAATGGAGGATAATAGTGGGTGTATGGGGTGTGATTAATAAATGCGTATTCCTAAATTTATACGAGTTGTTATTGATAGCTTAGGTGTCTTGATACCATTGAGTGGGCTGTTTTGTTTTGTTATATTTATGGGACAGTAAGTTGCAGTAGAGTTAACTTTGATTTGCAATTATAGAGAATTATGAGTATATCAGGAAAATTTTTGCTGATTTGGAGGTAATGAAAAATATCATTTTATTCCCTGCTCTTTATGTTTCTTCTCTCTCACCATGTTTTTCTATTTTTCTGAATAGTTCTTTATTAAGAGTTGCCGATTTTTTCAACCTACCACTTATTTGCAACATTTGATGCTATTATATTTAACATCCCACCCCTGTTCCTCGCTCCAACCATGGCACATATAGTAGTTGATGCCTTCCAAAACTCTGAAGTTATGGACGAAAGAACTTGATCCACTGTCAAGGTGTCTTAGTGCCTGAATACCTCTAATGAATAACTGTCCTTAATCAACAAAACCCTAAGAGAAATTCAACTTTTCCTTACCATGTTTGAAGTCAAATAGGGAACATATGTCTTTCATTAATGATCCATCACAATCAGATTTGTCAATCGTCTAATTCAAAATTGGCTTGATGGGGGTTTATGGATGGTTAACCCTTCAAAACAATGCACATTTAAACATATTGGAAACTTCAAAATTAGGATTCAGAAAATTGAATACTGTTATGGGTTTTAGCGACTCTCTGGTGGCAATACAATCACCTTAACATCATTCCAAATGGACAGGCCACCTAAGGAATATTATTTATCTTTGTTGCATCGATACGAATACGGCGACATGGATACGAGACATGTCAATTCTTAAAAATACAGGATACGTGTGCAGTGCGTACACCACATTATAATTATAAATCATACATAAAAATTAAGAAAACAATCGAAACATAATATTTAAAAGTACAAAAACAGAGAAAGCAACATCATTTTTAGCCTTGTAGCTTATAATATCAAAATAAAAGTTAGCATTAAATATCTAGTACAACAACAAAAACATAAACATGAATTTTCTAGCACATGAAGTTTCAATTATTCAATAGAAGGAATGATATGATTAGCTTCTTCAGTGGTTTGTCTTTGAACTTCTATATCATCTTCAATAAATATCATAGCTTCTAATTCAGGCTCAACAAGTGAAAGATTGACAATTTCTAATATTCCCATATCATCAAAAGACTCAAATCCATCTCGGAAATGAGAGAACCTCGCTCGCAGCTGCGGAAGTAAATATGACGCGTCTTTTTTTTTTCAGATTTTTTTTGTTTTTCAATAATCACGCATATCGGATACGCGTGTCCTTTTGAAATTAAATAGTATTTTAATTGGATACGGCTTTGCCGTATCCAACACGTATCGGTGCCATATCGGAGGCGTATCTGTGTATCGTTGTATCAGATACAACATGCCTTCATAAATAGGTGTATCAGTGCAACATAGGTATTTATGGTTATCCAAAACTAAAAACCTTACTTTTAAGTTAGATTTCCTCACTGCAATCCACGTTTGTTTTGGGCCATTGAATTACAGTGAGCTTCAAGGTGAACTTGATAAAATAGTTCAAACACCCACAGCTGCTAACTATCAACTTCACTTTGAGTTGTTAACTGCTTTGATGAACATATTCCACAAAGTTATTTTGAATCCGGTTTAAAATATAATATCCAAAAAAGAATTTAGCTTCTGTCTGTTAGCCAATATTACTTGCACCAGTCAATTGAACTCGTCCAATTCATTGAAGATAAAACTGTAAAGGTAGACTTTCCCAACCACCAACAAATCCCATTGTGTCACCATTGCTAAGCTAACTAACCTGCTTATTGTGAACACCATAGAAATCAATACCTATCTGCTCCTCAATGCCAATAAAAAAGTTAACTCCCGTTGTGCTTGCTATTGATGTGACAAAGGCTTATACCATTATTGGGATGAAAAGTTTCATTGCGATCACATCTGTAAAGGGAACATGGTTGCCCTTCTCATTGATTAGGATATTTTGGTGTTGGACAATGTTACTTCACAATAACACAAAATCTGAACCTGCAAAAACATAGCAATGAATCAACCTGAGAGTAGTTTTGATGCCTTGGACTGCCAGCCAACCTCACATGCATTCCATATTTATGGAACATTTGCTAAAACCAGTGGCAGAGCCAGAAAATTTATTGGGGGGGGGGGGCTAAATTATTTTATTAAAAATTTCACTAACTTTTTTCATCCAGGCTTGGGACCGGCATAGGCAGTTTTAAAAATTTTTATATAAAAATAAACTACTAAATATAAAATAAAGTACACTTACGATTTATACCTTCTATTTTTCATGTTTTGAAATAACTGAATAATAATATTATTGTCAATACAATATAAAATTTCTTTTTCAATATAAGCGATTAAAGTATCTTTCATCCGCTGATCTCCAATTCGATTGCGTAGTCAATTTTTTATGATAACCATTGAAGAAAATGCTCTTTCAACTCCTGCTATTGCAACATGTAATACTAATGCCAACTTCAAAAGCCTAAAATCAAGGGGATATAACATTTTCTTCCTGCTCTGAATCATTTTTTCAGCAAAACTTTCTCTATCTTTTAACGATGAAAATTTTACATCAAATTGCATATCCATAATGTAAGTTTCCAGCTGATTGTCAAAAATCATCAAATTGGGAGTGAAATCACTCGGATATAAGTTTGCCATTTTAATTAATTTTTCTTTGTTGAATGCACAGAATAAATTTGATGGATTCAAACAAGCAATACACAAAAGTAATTCAGTATTAGCTTTTGTGAAGATTCTCTAAATGTATTACCATGTTTTTTGATGATTCACTATCTGCTCTAATTCTTTTTTTGTTTTGCTCATCAGCCTTATTTTCTGAATTCTCTATTGGTGTTGATACGCAAGATTGTGATGATTTCTTAAAATATTTCTCCATAATCTTTGTGCAAGTTTAGATTTGCGAACTACATAAAACATAAAAATTACAAACAAAATATAAAAAATTAAGAACAAAGCAGCAAACAAATATTTTTTTTCCTAAAAGAGTAAACAGTCAACTACAATAGGTATTAAAATAAGAAAATAATATATCAAACAAATTCAGATTCCTAAATTTTTTTTTGTTATCCTAAACAAGTAAACAATAAACTACATTGGGTATTGAAATAAGAAAACATAAAACAGTAAACTACAATAAATTTTAACATAATATTGAGACTTGAGATTTTAGATCAAACAAGTTCAAGGAATGATTTTTTTTTTATCTGAATCAGTAAACAGTAATATTGAACTCTAATGAGTATACAATAGTAAATAATTTCTTTACTTGGGGAAAAAATCTATAACCAAAAGACAGTATAGAAAAAAAAAAGAGAGAGCTTACCTGTGCGGCTGTGCAGCTCTAGAATTTTTTGCTTAGGGAAAAAGTCTGCATAGGTATAGAATATTTTTTAATATGATAAAGACAAAGACAAAGGTATTAATTCTTAATTAATGATATTAATATGAATATTTTTTCCCTAAGACAAAGACAAAGACAAAGGTATAGATTTCTTACCTGTAGTGCTGTGCCTGTGCCGCCGGTGTGACGCCTCAAGATCTAACTTGAAAAGAATTATTCAGTCAATCCTTTAAATCAATCTTCTACCAGAGCTATCTATAATCATCAACCAGTAACAAACAGTCTAACAAAAAATCTACAATTCAAAACATCATGTAAACATTTCTATTCATTCCTAAAAGTACATTTACAATACTCAGGATCTACACATCAATCATACGTAATCTATCCTGTCCTGAGTATAAAAAGAATCACTATAACAAAAGGACAAAAACCTGAAGATTCCTAATCAACCTCAATCTCCTGAAGATTCCTAATCAACTTGAAAATATTAACCACATATAATGAGCTTCAAAAAGCCCAGCAGGTCACCAAAACCTACAACTGAAATCAAAGCACGATACGGAAACAATATGCATGTCAATCAGTCAAATCATTGCAGTCACTTACACATGATCATTTGAATCAACGTAGAATCAGAAATCAATGCATAAACAGTAATCAGTACATAAACGGTAGTCAATGC